GTTAAGAATGGATAGCCTCTATGTCAAAATGAGAACTTTTAAATTGGTGGCTGCGATTTTTCTACTATTTCAGATGACAACCCAAAATGTGAAATATATTGCTCAATTTTAAAAAAATGAACAGTGGTCTTCACGTGTTGTCATAGCTTTTTTTTTTTAGACGTGATGTTGTTTCTAACACTCTTTCAGTTTTATTATTTTTTAAACGTTTTATGATTTTGGCCTTCCAAATTATTGGTTTCGAACATACCGTATCAAATTATTTTGAAACCAGTATGGATCATGCAAACTGATCCTTGATAGCATACGGAGTTCCAAGGATGGCAAAGAGAGAACCAGGAATGTTCTCAACTATGAGTAAGGACTCATAATTTGTCCGACAGCCTATTATGTGTATTTCTGCTGTAGCCCTTATGCATGCTTTAACTTTTCCGAATATTAAACCCTTCAACAATGCATATTTGCTTAAAGAAACGAAAACTGCACCTGCCATAATTATGACAAAACATTTTTTTATTTGCAGAGCATCAAGGCTTTGTTTAGCTCTGCACAAAAAGATGTTATCACGTCAGTTTTTTACTCATTAACACTCCCAGTCTGACCAGCAAATAAATATCGGTGATGAAGAAGGATCTTCCGAAATGAAATCGATCTAGTCCAGCGGATATAAGAATAATTGATCACTTTATGGTAAACGCATAAAACTTAGCATAGTGAAAGATTAAGGAGTATAAACAAAATTTAGATATGGATCCATGAAAAAAATCTAATATGGCCGACAAATTAAAGATTGTTGACATAAGGTACTGGGAATACAACATCATACACTTGATGAAGTCTACCAATATACAAGAGTTCAGTAGATACCACATATCTAAGGAAACACATTTAAGATATGCCAATAATTATTTTTTCAATTTTATGAATACATAATTAATCAAAATGGCACCGTCAAAAATATCAGAATTTGACGATATTGATATATATACACTATCAATGTGGTATAGAAAGTTAACAAATTTGTGAAACTGATCATGTGATATAGACACAGGCCAACAACTTATCAAATATACCAGGGACATAGATTATGTTCTCAAAATGGCGACAAAATGCAAAATGGCGCCGTCAAAAATGTCGAAAGTTGACGTTTTTTTTTGTAATACTGTGGTATAAATTGATACATAAATAATGATAAAAAAATTTGGATACAAATAAAAACCAACATATCATTTTTTTGTAAGAAATGTTATAAACTATGAAATAAAAAAGGCGATACAATTCAATATAGCGTCTCTGAAAAGGTGTAAATTTACACAGTTATAGTCAATGTTTACATGACTTCAGGAAATGTTTTAATTTATTACCAATAAAAAATATGTATGAAACCCTACAAAGATACAAGACAAGTTTTTTTCTTCAAAATGGAAGCAAAAAATAAAAATGGCGCCTCAAAAGTAACTATTTGACATAACAACTTTATAGAACATATTCAAGTTATTGATAATTTAAATTAGACCCAACTGCAGGATAATCAAAATTTAGCACAGTCTGAATCAGTTTCTCTCTAACAGTCCGGTGTGCAGTTACATAATGCCTATATTTCAATGCTGCCTCTAAGCATTTTACATGCCCATCAACATCCTTTTTTACAGCAACAGCGGTTGAACTCTTGACATGAAATTGCAGCATCTGCAAGCCCCGACCAGAATGATACGCACGTGCCATCAAATTTTTGCCAACCAAATAAATCTGGTGATGGCATACCAGGATTTGCGACTAAATAATTACCCCAAATAACACTACTTTAGTTAAACGTTTTGTATGTTGTAGTAGCGCATCTCGAGTCGGAGGAATATTGTCAATCATGTGAATAAATGTGTTCTTAATTAATTCACTGTATTGAATGACCTAGATCGATCATACAGAAGCACAACATATCCATGATACCGTTCTATAACTTTTATTACTTTCAATATTTCCACTTCATTTAGATTTTTGATAATCACAAATACTTCTGACAATTCCTCATAAACGAACCACGTGTCCCAAGCTGATTTCTTACCCTTCCCAGAAATAGCCAGTACTGTGTCACAACGGTTGAAGGCATGGCACAAAAGTAAGACTTTCGATTTCAATGGTCCTAGAGCAAGGTATACTCCATGAACTGAAATATATCTGAAGTTTTTTCCAGTGCCAAAACCTATCCACAATTGTTAAATCTGCCGTCTGTTGAAACAAGACAAAAGACAATACAAAACCATTTGTGTGAACTTTTTCGATCAATGTTCCGTTGTGACATTTCTGTGTAGCATCCAAGGCATGCAACAACATTCTGGTATATGCCTCCTCATGTGATCATGAGCTCAATAATGCATAGCTGTGATCTGCAGTATTTCCAATGGTGTTTTCCTTGTCAGTTACTAATATCTCATTTTCTATGCCAGCTTTGTTATTTTATCAGCGAGAAAATGAGAGACCTCAACTTTATTATCGTCTAGACGCAAGAATTCTTGTCAGTTTCCTGGAACATTCGATTCATCTTAAACTCATCTTCGAATACCTTTTAAAGTTAAATACCACGTTTTCGCTATTGTGGACGCGTTTAAGCTATTGACACTGTACGTGTCAAAAACAATGTCAATATTTTGTCCATCTTTTCCAATATTCAGAATATACGGTATAAACACTTTTGGAGCGTATTCATTAAATGTATTAATATTGGTTGGCTTAAGCATATTAACACCTGCAGAACCACCAAGATTGATAGAAGACACTACAGTTTGAATATCTGCTGTACCGGGTGGCGTACCTGGGCATTTGCTAAAACACTATTCAGCCAACTACCAAGGGCTTTGAACGCAGCCATTTCTATTTGAAATCCGCCGAACATCATGACAGAGTTATCCTCACCAGACATCCGAGGCCAGTTCTATTGTATTAGTTTTACCACTGTCAAAAGTGGTTGGTCAAAAGCAACAACCTGGATTTAGCTTTCTTACAGCACTACGAATAAGTTCAATGAATGTCGTATCATTGCAAATATACATTGTATTTATCTTGCTCGTGAAGCAAAGGTAGACATGACAGACATTGCTGGTAATTTATTCGCATCTGGTAACGATAAAGCAGGCGTAGGCGATAGGCGGACCATGAAATGTTTGTCCCAAGTTCATCTTTAACACTTTAATTTTCCGCTATATATTTGGGCCATTTGACTTCCCCTTTTAATGCAACTGGAAATGAAGACATATTAATTGACAGTTCTCCTTCAACTAATTGGATATCTGGTTCGCAGAATCTCAATACTGCTGGTGGAAGATTCGATTTACTCTCTAATAAAAATGAGAAAGTCTTTGACGGGCATTTTAAAATAGCTTCAAAATGGTCAAATGTTTGCAAAACTCCTTGAACATCCTTTGAAATATGTTATGATAAAGATATACCGGTACCATGAAATGAATCTTTTGATGATATACTTCTTGGATTGAGGTCACGAAGTGAATACATTTTGCAGTAAATGGGTAGGGCAAACAAAACCTTCCTGGATATAACGACAAGTATCATTGGCCATCAAAATAGAAATTTCTAACACTCTGTCGTAGTAAACAGATAGTACAAGTTTGAAGAAAGTGTCTACTAAATCACGTTTTCTAGTCTTACAGTGGATCATGATTCCCAAAATAAGCACAAACTGGGGGTTCATGATCTTTCATGTGACAGTTGGATTGTTTCTTTGTACAACTATACATCAGAAGCTGTGCTATTGTAAATTTCGACTGAGAATATGAATGATCCTGAATGTTGGGTCAAGACTGAATTAACTGCCTAAAGAAAGCAATGAGTGTGGTACAGAAGCTTCTCATGGCTTCATATTCCAAAAATGCTCATTAGCATTATTACTAACACTGTGAAAAGATTCATGCTTTTACTATAAAGTTGTCAATTATACCAGTATATTGGACTTAGCCTCTTGAATGTCGGCGACAATTTTGAATTTGGCGGCAATTATGGATTTTTTTTAGATGGCTTTATATTAAAAAATGTACATTAGCATCATTACTAAAACTGTGCAAAGTTTTATGCTTTTACTATAAAATAGTCAATTATACTAATATATTAATTGGACTTAGCCCTTGACTCTTTCCGGCCATTTTGAATTTGATAGCAATTTTGGAATTTGTTTAGATGGCTCCATATCCAAAAAATGTAATAAGCATCATAACTAACACCGTGCAAAGTTTCATTCTTTTACTATAATGTGATCAATCATACCAATCTATAGGACTTAGTGTGTTGACTGTTGGCGGCCAATTTGAATTTGCGGCCATTATGGAATTTTTTTAGATTGCTCCATATCCAAAAATGTTTATAAACATTATAACTTACTCTGTGAAAAGTTTCATGCTTTTACTATAAAATGATCAATTATACCAATATATAGGACTTAGCATCTTGACTATTGGCGCCATTTTGAATTTGGCGGCCATTATGGATTTTTTTAGATGGCTTCATATCCAAAAATGTTTATAAGCATCATAACTAACGCCGTGCAAAGTTTTATGAAAGTGATCAAGTGTGCCAAAATATCGGACTTAGCCCGCTGAACTACAGTATCCAGAGCAGGAATCATTGATATGAAATACCTAAGGCACATTACCTATTTACAGGAACTACTTTTCAAACTTTAGAGAAACCATCATGAACGAAAAATACAGTCAGGTGTCTTATGGGTATGTTTTTTCTGTTTTTATTGACTATTTGGTTGCTGTCGTATTGACAATATCCCACATCTCTTTTTGTATTCATATTGCTCTTTTAACATGGTTTTATTGTGATGATTTATTTATTCCTAGAGATTAAATATAACAATAACCCTTACAAACTAGCCACACATTAACCTCTTCAAACAACTGAATAATGAAGTATTGAATTTGAAGCTTTGTTATTAGGTTTCATTTGCAGTACAAGACCATGTAAAACAAGGAAAATGGTAATGAAAATAGATTTATTCAAACATAAACTGGTATAGATGAAAGTACATATGAAAGTATATACTGTGATCTTCGTTTACTATATATAAAAGGTATTACTAAACGCACACCCAACTTTTATTGCATATATTATATATCTATAGTTCGTTATCATAAGTCTGTTGTTTGGCACGCTATAATGGATTTTAAATGATGGCACATGAAAATGTTTTTACAAAATAGAAAATCAACAAAACTTAGTTCTCCACAAAAAAAGGTTTAGTATGATTTGTAACATAAATATCTCAAATTGTTAAAATAAAATATATATGGCACCAAGAAAATTACAAATATGTATTCATCTCAAAGAATATCACAATTGTGAGAGTTTTGCGCACTTATACAACAGTCTATACACCTTATCGCTATTTGTCCGCCATTACTGGACCACACAAAGGTTCCCGTAATATTTTGACGTCACAATCAAAATATCTCTTACGTCACAAAGGAAAAGTGATTGTTGTATGACGTCAATAGTTCAAGTGTCGCAAATCACAATATTGTTCTTCTACAACAGAAACAGGAGCAGCAACAATTTATTGTCGACCTTTATGTAAACTCCATCCAGACTCTCAATAATGCATTCTCGTTCATCGTAACGATTTTTAGGGGTCATGCGATGACCAAAATTAAAATAAAAACGCAAAACAAACAACACACCTAACATACAAGAGTAAAATAAGGATAAAGTAACACAAACCCTTCAAATATATCTGATATGAATATAGGTACTTTTAAATTGTAAGCTCTTTCTGCCCGTGTTTGTTGCACGTGCTGATGTTCAATGAAAAGTCACAATCGCTGTGAAGGTATTATTCATTCCGGTTATGTAGATGTCTTTTGTTTAATCTTTGTAATTTTCGAAAGATGTCAAACGAAAATGTTTTGTCTATTTATGTTGACTGTGTATAATAACCTACTGGTTTCTAGGTAATTTTGTTAAATACATGTAGAAAGTAGTACTATTATTTTATAAAAAGTATTTAAGAATATGCTGATCACGAAAATTATTATGGTTTGAAGCTTAACGACAGCGGGTAAGAAAAATTAACTTCGAATCTTCTAGACTAACATGTAACATAAACTTACTAGCTCGGTAAGTCAAAGACACAATATTACAATTTTTACAATACACACATACATAACAATGCAATGAAAATGAAACACAATATAAAGTACGAAGTCAGCCATTTTGGAACGGCTATGCAAGTAACATTACAACTAGTATCTGCAATTTTAGCATTCTGTGGAAGAATCCTGGATTTCAGCGGTGCAAGTGAGCGTTCCATTCCACCTATAATAGACACCCTTGCACCATTCCACTTTCCCGGGCCTTGTAATCTGTACTGGGCAGGAAAACAGGGACCACATAAACAATGAAGTGCTAGTCTTGGATCATCTATGAACAAACGTTTGAGATTAGGCTTACAACCAATTTTCTCTGCTATTTCATCCATATATTGTATCCAAAATGTCTAAAATAAAAAGAAGTGAACACGATCTATAAAATTAAGCCATTTGCAATTGATATTTACAGTTTGTTCTTATATTATATTGCTCTACCACTGTCTAAGGTTAAGGGAGGCTGTAGCGCTCAAACACATGTTTCACCCTGCCACATTCTATATATGCCTGTCCTAAGTCAGGAACCTGTAATTCAGTGGTTGACGTTTGTTTATGTCTGTAATATTTGCGTTTCATAAAAAAAATGTTATAAACCAGGCCGTTAATTTTCGTGTTTGAATTGTTTCACATTTTCTATGACTGGGCCTTGTATAGCGGACTATACTGTTTGGGTGTTTCTCATTGTTGAATGCCGTATGGGACCTATACTTGCTTGCATCCAACTTATTTGAACTCTAGTGGATAGTTGTCCCATTGACAATAAAACCACATCTTACTATTTGTATAGGAAATGAAATAACGTGTGTATGTTGCAGTTCTGCTTTCTAAAGAAATAGTCTCATTTATTGATTGTTCTGTTTTGTTTTCTTTCAATTGTGTTTGGTGTTTCTGTTCCCATGTTTGTGAAAAAGTAAAAGTGAACTTACTAGATGTCTCTGATTAACTTTGTGGATCACTGCGTGATTGTTTTTGTATCATGTTCGACACATACAATTTCAAGTCATGAAGAAAATTTAGAATCGTATTTTTGCTGGTACTCTTACATTCTTTGTTGGTTTTTTTTTTCTTCTTTTTTTCATTTCGTGCCGATCTAATGATTGAGTATCCGAGTTTCGTTATATTTGTCTTTCCACTCCTTAGTGTTATATTATGTATCATACTAATCAAAGGCACCACGCTTATATTTTGGTATAACTGTTGACAATAAATGTCAATTGAACAACTCATTGTTACCAAAAAGTAAAGTCAAATACTAACTTGTAAATCATGATAATGTTTACAAAAAATAACAGAAAAGACTGCAGAACTTACAATACCAAAAACATTTTCGAATGGCCAATCGGCATATTTGAGAATACAATATGCATTTCACTCTTGGAGTTTATGCGATCCCCCTATGTTTTTTTCTCTTGGTTTGTACATTCAGAATTGAATTACGATTACTGAAGATCGGAAAATTCCTGTAGCCTATTAAGATATGATAAATACCTTGTTTTTCATAATATCATATATTTAAAACATTAAAATATGAGACGCAAAAAAGAAACTAAAGAACTTATGAAATTTTTTGTTTGTTAAATAATTTCTATAATTAGCATCGGAGAGTGTTTGGCTTCTAGTTTTGGACGAGTTGTGAAAACCTATTAACTTGATTCAAGTAGATACATGTATGATGGGGGTCACACTAGTTTGGTGCACTCTAACTCTCCCACTATGACTGTTTCCTAGCGTATGCTCTATACATATTATAACTTAATAAATGTACAGAACTATAGGGTCAATGTAAATATATGAATTCACTGCATGGTATTTCTTGCGTTGGAAAAATTAACATTTAAAATTCAGTTGTGTTTGCTACCATTAGAGAAAAATGGCGGGAAAAAACCATACGTTGAAAAACAACAGACAATTATGAAGAAAGATCAAAGAAAACAACTGTTCACGAAATATAACATAGAAAACATAAGATTGAGCAACAAGGTCCCATCAATAAATTGGAGGTTTACCCAATTACTCCAGAGAGCTAAGCATTTTCTATTCGCTATTCCATCATTAGCACACGTCGCGTTTATCGTGACAATTACACATAGAGTAAACATAATCATTCAATAAGGACATACACGCACGCTGAAAAAAACGACAATGAACATTTATGACACAGATTTTTCATAATGGCCAACCAAATCATGATAGGGTTTAGAAAACATTCGAAGTAATTATCAAACTCTAGTAATAAGAACTGTTGATCAAGAGGTTTCTTGTACACACCGCTACTCTATCAAGGAAGCAATGATAGGAATTGTAACACGTTGATTATTGTTCCAACAGGGAATGATATACTGGTGCTGTAGGAATGTTCCAAAAATATAAATTCATAATGGCAATAATCAGTTAAAAGCGAATCTAACTGATCTTTTGGTGATAAGAGACAAGCCAAGTTCTGATTATCAAATTACCTGCAGGGTATGTCTCTGTGACTTTATGTGCATACTGTTGTAAAGATGTTTGGCTTCTATGTCGTCCATCATGTCCGACAAAGGAGGAAGTGGATTTATACCTGTAAATATAGTATTTAACTATCATTTGTACTTTTGTGTATGTCAGTTTATGGAAGGCGGGAGATGTGCTGTGTACACCCTGTATTTTTAACGATCCGATATACCTTATTCTTACAGTAAAAATACAATATATAATCATTATTAAATGTTTATCCTTTTGTTACCTAAACTTTTTCAGAAAAATAAAATGTGTTTACTTGCATGATCAGTAACCTCTCTTTGCATTTAACAAAAGTTGTGTTTAGAGCATATAATCTTTGTGCGCAATCTGTACGGAATATTTTAAATTGTAATTTATGTTATCACTTACTTTCTATGGCTAAGTAAAATTTATTAAATTGGTACTGATATTGTGTTAAAATTCAAAATTTATCAGAGCTAGGGAATATATGAATTTTGATATTGTTAAAGTTCCAAATTTATATAAAATGTTGTATAATTAAATAACCACCGTTAAAGAATAAACGATCGCTAAAAATCTTCTACAAGAATGCACCTTTTTTTTCTGTTGATTACCCCGGCGCTTACCTTTTAGAACACGAGTGAACCATCGACACTGGATTTCAGATATTGGCATCACTGCACCTATGGCTTGTACAAGTCCAACTACTGCAAGTGTTGGGTGTTTCAAGTGTGGAGGAAACATGTATTTATAAAGATGTGTCTTATTATTCTCGATCTTGACTATGGATTCATCTAGAAATTTGATTTTATATGAATATCCAGTTGCATAGACTACTGCGTCAATTCGTTCGTAGCTTCCGTCTTCAAATACTACGCCACAATCATCAAAGTTATGGACATCGGGCTTAATTCTTATTTTGCCAGTCATTATTTTTATCGGCAGGTCGTCGTTTATTGTAGGATGAGCTTCCAGTGATCTGTCAATATAAAGAAATAGAACTGTTACAACCTATTCTAATGCCAGCTAACACTTAAATCATACAAATAGCCGGTTTACCAGTAATCAATAATGTTTTTTGACAGTACGTATACCAATAAATGGGCATTTTCAACACGTTTGCTAGAACAAATAAATACACAACTTATTTAAGTTTAACGCCACTTGTTTAATTAAAACACGCGAGATATAAGTTTACTACAAATTTGCCATATGTTTAGCAAAGATAGTGCTAATGCCCTTGTCAAGTAATATGGTGGCCATTGTTGGTCACTATGTAAGGCAATTTAGTACTTTGAGATTGCTAATAGTATCTGAGGGTATTCTTTTACATTATATATTTTACCATTGTTTAACCTGTGATTGTTTGTTTGTTGTGTTTTTGTTTTTGTCAGGTATATCTGTAAGAACTCGTGTGAGTTATGACAGGGTATTGCTGTACCTGTGTTTTGGCTTCACTCCATACGATTCGTGATCGAAGTTGAAGTTTGCCATTTTTTCTACAGAATACTGAAGCACATTCCTAGGAAGCTGAAACAATAGACGACAGTTGGCGACGGCATCGGCTGGATAACCCCAGAATCCTTTGCGACCAACAACCCAGGCACCTCTTCTTGTGCTTAGATATACCTTCAAGTAAATTCAAAGTAGTATGCATCATAAAAGATTGCTAGTTGTTTTAACTACTAATCCCCAAAACATTAGAGTTTTCTAACTTTTAGCTTTGTACATACGACTTTTTTTTAATTTCTAAAATATTTTGAAAAATTAACATGACAGTTTGAATATCAAATGAGAAGAGGGATTATGTGCACAATATATGACTAAATAGCAAGAGTATATGATGCAGAACAAACCATCAATGTTCATGGATATTGTTAGTCAGTGTATATATGTATATGTATATATAAGACGTTTACAACAAAAATTACCTCAGATGCTGTATTACTGAGATCAACTGCAATGTCAACAGCAGAATTCCCAATACCTACAAAAATAATTTATCATTCCTAATAGAAAAAGTTTCTTTAAATTGTGATGATTTCAGGAAACGTGTTTTAAGTTCGATATTTTACATTGAACGTCAACTTAGACTTAGTGATATCCCTTCCCTCTATAGTTACCGTTACAGTGTTGTGGGTATTGTTCAAATTATAAAAAATATTTAGTTAATGCCTAGGTCGAAGTTGTCTTTTACCTTTTATATTGAACAAATATACTAGGATTTACGATCGACCTATAAACTATGGAAACATATACATCCCGCCTGCTGTCGTACTAAAATGACAAAAAGACACAAAAAGAACCGTTTGAGAGATTGTATTTGCACTAAAGGACGACTGAGAAAAATAGTGCTTTGAACGTACAAATAATGCACCAGTGTATGGTTAAGAAACAAATCAAATACAAATATCTGAATCGTAACTGCAATATTATTTTATCTGGTTAAATTAAAACAAATTGAAAATTAAAGGAATAAGAGGAACTAGGTATATTTTGAATATAATAAGTAAGACATAAATGTTCAATTTGTAATCATAAATATCGGTTTTACCAAAAGAGCAACTTTAATATACTGGATATCGTCTACTTTAACCATTATATCGAGCAAGTATGCAAGGTAACGTGTGGCATTGGCCTTATTTTAACAAGATATTACACTTACCAACAACTAGAACTTTTTTGTCTGCAAATTCTTGAGGACTTCGATAACTATGGGAATGGATGGTTGTACCACGGAAATTTTCTATTCCATCAAACGTAGGCATGTATGGATATGTATGATGCCCGGTGCATACTAATACACCGTCAAATATTTCTGAAACAGTTTGTCCGGACTCTTCCGAATTGTATGTGACTTTCCATCTTCCTGTCTGATCAAAATCAGAACATTGTGTAATACTCTCGACAGATGTCCTGAAATTTATGTAATTAAGGAGTCCAAAATTGTTTGCATAAAGTCTAAAATACTGTAAAACATATTTATGTGGTAAAAAAGTTGGAAAATGTTTCGGAGGAGGAAAGTCGCTAAAAGCCATCATTTCCTTACTGGTATTAATTACACACGATTTATAAACACTTCCTTTACCATACTTTGCAGCGTCTGTATAATTCCAAAGTCCTCCAATATCATCTTCACGTTCAAAACATACGGGTTGTAAACCTTCATCTAAACAGCATTTAATAGCAGCTAAACCACTACAACCTGCACCAATTATTGCAACCCTCTTCATATTGTTTTTAGATAAATATATTTAAAATTTGAACGATTCACAATGCAAACGCGTATTTTAAATTTTTACCGTGCATATTATAACAGGATTGTCGCTCAATACATTCCTCACTTGAGTGAACTTATATATATGACCGGCTGTTGACCAAATGACCAATCGTGTCACACGACAGATATTTTATACACCTTCAACGTCTTTTGAAGGATTTTGAATGATAGTAATAATACATCACTACTTTAAATCGAGCATATTTTTTAGTTTACAATTTGTCACGTCTGAATCAGTAATGAGAATATGGTGCACGTAAAAATTTGCATATTCGTTTAGTTTTTTTTTGTTAATGTAATGCGTTATTATTTCGCGGAAAATGGATTATGAATGAAGTGTTCTAACAAATATATTGACATTCTTATAAATATCATCATAAATTGTCACGATCAATTTAAAACAAATTGCAAGATAGACAATTAAGTATTTTTTTTTTTGTGCTGCTGCACTTGTATCATAATAAATAACATATGTTTATATCAATTATGCATATTAATTATTATACACGAACGTTATAAGCAAGGACAATTGATTAACCGACTATTCGTGATTTGATTTTCATTTTTTGTAAGCCAAATATACATATTTAGTAGCTTTAAACATTTACCATTAGAAAATTGTTAACCACACACTTAAATTTTCGTTTTAAATATATTAGATTCATTTTCATATTAAAGTAGGATGAACAATTATTTTTTATTCAACATATCATCTGTTTAAACCAACAAAGTGTCACGCGTGGCCACACAATAAAACTGTTACATAACTATGACATTCAAATCTATTTTAAATTTAAAGATCATTTAAAAAAGTAACAATCAAATTAAGAAACAACAAAGCCAATCTTCAAATATTTCCATTTATTCTGATAAAACATATATTAGAGCAACATTACTGTGATAAAATATTTATTAAATGTCAATTAACCCTATATATCATATAGAATAAATTTTAAGACACAATATTTTGGATTTATACGCTTTTATATTCTTTTTATCAACTATATCTTATTCTAGAGCTTATTAAACAATACCAACTGTCAAGTATTTGGAATGATTACAATATAAAGAATATAAGCCACTACGTTCATGTACTTATAAAAAATAATAAGATACCGAAATCAATTTGATTCATTTTAAAACTTTATTTCGTCACAGTGGTGCTCAAACTCAAGTATACATTTGTGTGTTTTTTTATTTACAAGTTGTCTCATTAACCTGTTACTTAAAACAAGGTCGTCTGACAGCATTTTCATGTAATAACACAATAAAATTATTATATCTGTCAAAAGACTAATGTGATGTATATATTTAACCTTCAAGATAATTCCACATTTTTGTACATTTTATTTCATAGCGCCCTGCTTTCAATTGATATGTAAAATAATTTAATTCCGAAATTTACAAGATAGATCATGGAAAACAAATAATGTTAAATGTATTAATATATTTTGTTCTCTTTTTCTTTCCATTTCTAAACATGTTTTTCTTGTGTCAAATAGCTTGACATAATCGTGTAATTTGGAAAAAGTATGATAAAACGTTAAAATCATTCGAAACACTTTGATTTTTCCAGCTCAAGGAATATATGGCCTTAGCCAGATTTTTAACAATTTTGTTTAAATGGTTGGTTGCTCTTTAGACTTTAAAATTGATTTTCAAACTGTTTGTATCGAGAGAGATCCAATGGTTGGTTGATCATATGTAGATGAAACGCATGTTTTGCGTATTGAATTATAAGCCTGGCATCTATTATGAAATTTAACATTATGGTCTATCTCGACATGTCCAAAATATTATCTTTTTATCAAAATGACTCTTTATTTTAATGAAATTTCTCTTGCATTAATCCCTGGTTCCGCTTTGAGAGGTTCGCAATTTTCTTTATTATGTCCATTTTGTAGAGTATAGCTCCATCGCGTGTTGTTTTTATTTATATTCCAAGGCAGTGAACTGATTCTGATTAACTTCATGTTCTGTTTTGCAAAAATCGATTAATAATTCTTTATTGAAGTTCAATGCGCTACTATAATTAGTCTTAGATATGAACAAGGAGTGCTACACAATAGTGCAAAAACAAAGTAAACAGTGGTCATTAAGTGCACGTTCAATGAAACATTGATATATTTTACCAAAGGACTGAATAATATTGTTAGTTTATTGAGTCTCGCTACCAGGCTATAAATTACCATATTTATTAAACAAGGTGTCGCATCAAAATCATTCATTTAGCTAGTTATAAAACCAGGTTTAATCCACCATTTTCTACATAAGGAAAAAAGTAAAATCACAAAAATACTGAACTCCGAGGAAAATTCAATCGGAAAGTCCCTAATCACATGGCAAAATCAAATGACAAAACACATCAAACGCCTGTACCAAGTCAGCAATATGGCAGTGATTTTTTTTTCTTTCGTTTGATGCTTGAGTTTTAGATTTGGCATTTGATAAAGATCCTTCCGTTTTGAATTTTCCTTGGAATTCGGTATTTTTGTTATTTTACTTTGCACGAGGTAATTGCATTTCAAAGATAGTCAAATTTTAAAGCATAATTCTCATGACTCCAGCATGAATAATCAAATCAAAATGGCGGTATGGTTGGGTCAACTACACATGATGACTAACAATCCTAGTAAATGTTATAGCTGTTGGACCAAAATACTCAGATTCGGCAACAATGTTTTAGTTTGTTACCCGGATTTGTTTTTGCTTAATCCTATTATGACTATTGAACAGCGGTATACTACTGTTGCCTTTATTTCTGCAAAGGCCAACGTAAGGAAAGTAAACATCAAAGAGACAGCATTGTGCGACTCAAGTAAACCTCTGGAGGCATCTAAAGGTCATACATACGATCTTATCTTTTGTTCCGAACTGTATGACTAACTCTAACATTCCGTGTCTAGACCTGAACATTTGAAAACCAGGGATGTATAAAAACGAAGCGTTAACTTTATGACCATGAAAATTACAATTTACAAAATTCATGCGTCCCAAACACTTCTCTGGATTTTACTTTATCAAGAACGCTCAGGCTTATATATTTTATAGCCAGCGATGTATCAATACGTAACAACATTAGTAGCATAATCGCTAATTGGGAAAAAAATAGCACCGTTTAATTAAGATCAACTTAAATGAGGGAGTTTGAACCCTAAGTGTCTTCGTAATTTCTTTATTTTAGGAATTACTGTAATATTTTTCTGTCTATGAAGAAATAACATACAAAATGTGGTGCACACTGAATAACCCGCGTAGCGCGCACCACATCTTTGAGGTTATTTCGAACAGACAGAAAAAATATTACAGTCATTCCTTATAATTTTATTCTAAATTCCATTTTTAAGGAGTTAATCGTTGATGACGGCACGGTCATATGACAAAGTTATGTCTATGAGCTGATAGGCAAAAAACGTTCAGCCAATCAGGAGACATATTACATCCAAAGTTAAATTATTTGGATATGTTCTAAATAACTTTAACAAATACGACCGTTAGACTTTTTCTAAGTTTGCCACGTTATTCTTAAGGGATGACTGTAATTTTTTGTCTGTCTATGAAGAAATAACATAAAAAATGTGGTGCACACTGAAGAACCCAAGTAGCAGGTTATTAAAAAGTGTGCACAACATTTTTGAGGTTATTTCGAAAAGACGGAAAAAATATTACAGTCATTCCTTATAATTAATTCTAAATTCCATTTCTAAAGAGTAAATCATGAAAACCGTTGAGGACGTCATGGTCACATGATACAATTGTGATTATGTCTATAGGCTGATAAACAAAAAACTTTCAGCCAGTTAGAAGACGTGTTACATCTAAAATTATAGTTAAAATGTGGAGTTTATTAAACACATAAACACGGAATTGAAAGTTTTATAAAGTGATGCACAATCGCGTATAAAACGAATATTTGTTTATTTGTTGCTCTCAAATCCTCGATGAGCCAATAACTCCGACCATGGAAAATATCATCCAATCAAAAGTAGTGTTAAATATCTTATTGCATTAGAACAAGTAGGAGCTATTAATTGCCATTATCTTTCATGTTTAATATATGTAGCTAAACATAACATCGAGGTCAAACGTAACTTAAAACGAAAGTGTAGCAACTACAAAACTCATCAAATAATATTTGAATTATTCTTTATATATTTAATTTCTGGTGTTATTAAACATTCTAAAATTTAATCAGATTTTGATCATCGATGCTAAATTATTTTAAAAAACGTAATCAGTCCATGCATGCTGTTCTCGTCATTACAGATTAACAAAGACAGTAAGACAAGAGGGAGATATAAATTTAATGGTCCACAAAACTATTGACACAAATATCAAATACACGACTAAGTATCAATTTAGTGATAAGTTACAACATAGATAGTGAGTCACATATTCTTACAATATACAACCAGCGACACAAATATCAAATGAAAATGAAAATTGAATAAAATGAAATAATCATTATCTCACGTCTTCTAACATTTCAATGATGAAATTACTAGATTGGCACTTTTCTTCTTTCACAGTTATTAAGCATATCAGACAAAAAGTAACACAAAAATTCAACAGTCAATTATAAAATTTTGTTAAAAATCTCCCTCTCCTTTAAAAAAAAAGATAATGTTTAAACGAAAAAGCAAAGTTTATGCCGATTTTTGCAAATGACTTCAATCATGGTATTAAAGTATTATTGTTTACTAAAATGTCTTAAGAAATTATTTCGTATTTCATCGGATAAATACACAAACATTTATCAAAAAACAAATTTATTTTATGACTGAAGTTTCGGATTTTCTAATTTGTTGAAATTCCTATAAACCTTCTCTGACAGAACATTTATTAATCTCCCTAAAATTAACTTGCGTTAAAAAAGTCAGTCGCAAAGGAAACTGAACAAAAACATCGTTGATTAATTTTAATTCAAACATACAAATTTTGAAAATGTTTCTGATAGTTAAATAATAATTTGTAAAACACACAATACACATTATTATAAGAAAATACTTAATATTCTTCAGGGTCAAATTTAAGAGAAAAAATCATATATTTGTTAACATGTGTTAATTTA